TGGTGAAGAGGGATCTGAGATGGAAGGCAAAGTTTTCGATTTACCGGTCCATTTATGTTTTGACCCTCACCTATGGTCGTGAGATTTGGGTAGTGACCAAAAGCATGAGATTGGGGATAAGCAGCTGAAATGAGTTCCACAGGGCGGCTGGGCTTAGCCTTTGAGAGGGGGTTAGGGGCCTGCTGCTCCTTCATGACGAAAGGGCCCTGTTGAAGTGGTCTGGGCATCTGATCAGGATCAGTAGGAGGCCCCAGGACAGACCCAGAATAGGCTGGAGGGATTATATATCTCATTTGGCCTGGTAATGCCTTGGAACCCCCACGATCGCTTTCCCCGTGACCCAACCCCAGATAAGAGGATGGAAATAGATGGATGGATGAATTAGTACAGTTATTGTTTTAAACAAAGAGATAGTGATCCTGGAAATGTTTAGGTTTGGTCTGATCAAGTTTGAGGTTCAGAAGTTGGATGTTTCAATCACATTCCATTCCTTCTAAATGTTGGTTTTGACTATTCTGCTTTTTTGTTAACTAGCTGTCACGCACTTTCAGTCACTGCACATGGTGTCCAGGTGTTAGGAATAATTATATTGTCATTCATCGTTTGTTTGCACAGAATGTCCTTTTTGATTTGTGCAGGCTAAGTTTCACTGACTTTGGCCCCGGTGGAACCGCGGTAGACAACAACAAAACTCAAACAGGCTGGATACTGTACATGCCAGCTTGCTAAACTTAAAATGCATTTTTCTTTTTTTCAGACTGTGTTGGGATGAAATGTTTTCACCTGACAGCAGCAGCATTTCAATTGCAATTGAAGTTGATTTCTTCCTCTCAGAGTCTCCTGAGCTTGAGCTGTGATAACTCTGTTTCTTTTTTCGTAGGCAGACACTACCTCTAGGGTAGCTTCGTTTCTCTGCCTTATGTTATGCTGTTGCATCTAGCTTTTCCCCATTTTAATGTTACTTTTACTAATGTCACAAAACTGCTAGAAATGTATGAGGTGGACGAATAGGATGACTTTCTACTCTTTAAAAGAGTCATTGGTGTGTCCTTGCTGCTGACAGCTGGTGTTACTCACACTCTGCAGCAGAGATGAGAAAAAGTAGAATGGCTATTGTAGAAATATCCCATCATGCATTTTAGAGCAATTCTTCCTTTCTTATGTCCTTTTCTCCACTTCCTGACAGGGGCACACCAAAATGGTGATATTGCAGGGTGACCTTGAAGGGTTTTTTTTTTTTTTTTGAAAACTAAATGAAACTAAATCAAGAACAGCAATAGTGCCATGAAAATGTATCAGCTGACTACTGGATGGTATGATATTAAAGCTGAATTTTCAAGATGCTTTTGTGCTTTATTTTATTAAAATGCTCATTTGCATAGTGACGAACATGAATCAATGTCACATACCACAGCATTAAAAGTCCAAATTAATTTGCAATTTCTGTCCCTTAACAGGTTTGAAATGCACAATACACCCAAAACACACAGCCCATAAGAAATACAATAATACTGCAAAAAAACTTTGAAAAAGTTTACTTCAGTTTTAAATGATCCTAATTATGATCCAGTTTAAGTCCTTAGGTTGCACATTTCAGCCTCGTCTCACTCTCAGGGCTTCAAAATACTTGTGTGAAACAATAATTGATTGCATCAAACTACGCATTTGTTGCATGAAATGATAAATTGTCTCTAAGGACTCTGAAAGTTTGTTTTTGCAACCACTGTAACATGTTTCTCTAACTGTCAGTGGGAATCTAACAGAAGGCTGAGATATTTTACTTTCAAAACTTGTTCAGTGTATTGCCCATTAATCTTTAAATTTAACTTATTAACTTTTGACAAGGGCAAAGCCTTGCAGGAAAAGAAAACTAGTGGTGCATATTGGCAAACAAAATTGTAATTAATCAAATTACCACAAAGTAATTGCCACACAGACAAACTGGGGCCACGGGGGGTCTGGGGCTTTGATCGGGTGGTAGGCCTAATCCAGCCTCCAGCAGTTTCTCACTCTTAGCATCACTGATGAGTGTGCTTAGGTGTAGAAAGAAGTGTGTGTCACGGTTACCATATCCTCCTTAACTTCGATGTCACACTGTACTGCCACACCCTGGAGTACAGTTGTAAACAAGAAGGACAGATCTAAGGTGCTCTGAGTCCTGAGTAATATAAAAAGGTTTTAATTTTACATGGCTGACATCAGTGTGTTTGGCCTGAAAGCATTTGTCAGGGTGTTGAAGTTAAACATGGACACTGAAGACGCACAAATCATGACACAACAAGTGTGTGGATAGAATATATGAGGACAGAGTAAAAGTAAGTGCGTAATAATGCTGGATCCACCTTAAAGGTGCTTTATGAGACATCAGGAACTCTTTTTAGCCTCACTGTAGCCTGTAGCTCTAACTGCCTCTCTGTACACCGCGTTCACATGACGTTTTTCCAAACAACTTTATATGTCGGGGCTTCAGGACACTTGGATCACTATGGACGAGCAGTATGGAGATATTTTGTGGTTTCAATTATGTGTTTTTGGACGTTTGAATCTGGGGCGCTGTCAGCCTGCATTAGGTGGAGTTGTGTTGCTACCCCCTCTCCCCTTGGATCTCCTCAAGTGTTGTGAGGACTCTAAAACTTCACCTGAGCCTCCATCGGCATATGGGTGAGTAGATAATGGGTGAATTTTCATTTTTGGGTGCACTATCCCTTTAAGCGGTATTTGATGCACTGGGAGTGGGAACAGGCTGGAATGTTGCATACAGCTCCTTTACCTATTGGAGCTTTACTATTAGAATTATTTACAACCATTTTACATTCAGTAAACCTGGGACTTTTGTTGCCCTGGGGCAGTTGCCCTATTTGTAATGGTTTATTTCTAACTTAACTACATTTATTATTATAACATCATAAGCATTTACTTTAAAGATATCCAAATTTTCCACTGTGTTAAATGTCACTTGCCATACTGCATGTTTTGCAACTTTTGAATTCTACTTAAATCCCATCAACATCATACATAGTTCTTCATTACTCAGACCAAACTACAGTATCTGACAAATTGTGAGAAACTGACTGAGGGCATGCTGTTAAATAGGCATGAGCAGCAGTGTGCAGCTGAATTAGTACAAAGTGTATCTCACAAAATATCACTGGATGGATTGAAAACAGACTCACTGATGCGGAAAACAGATCTTAATGGTTGCAATTTACTTATTTACAATCGTCGCCTTCTTTGCAAATGATAAGGGATTGTTTCAGTGCAACAGTCACTCATTAGCTTCTCCCCACAGACACAAATTGATCAAACTGAGTAAGATTTCACATCGTAATTAATTCAGGCTTAGCAGATAATGTGTTTCTGTGGCCTTATGCTGTGGCTGTTATGAGATGCAGCATTCCTACTTCAGTAAGCAAGGAAATTCTTGTTTGCCACTTTTGCCTACATATCAAAATAGTGGTTCAGTGAGATAAAGCTTGTCAATAAATATAAAAACTCTATTTTTCTTTATGGACTGCGTACAGCACTGCAGTTAAGTTTGTCTAAACACTGTTTTCTCTCACATACCCTATAGCTACCATGTTATGAAAATGTGCTCCAAACCTTTTATTTTTTATTTTCAGTCATTAAATTTCAATTTCATGTTCTTACATTAATCAAACTTTTCTCTCCAGGTAAAAGCAATACGCACTGAGTCCAAGTAGCCTTTGTGCTCTCTGTTTCTCATGTAGAATCATTCTAGGCTTTTATGGGAAAATACATTTTCAAGCAATCAAGTGCTTCAGTGTCCCTTTTTAAAGTGACTCTTGGCAACAAAAATGGTCAATCTCACCTCTGCACACTGTGCCGCATGCAGTGTTTTCAGCAATGGTACTTGGAAATGAGCCATCTTATTCAAGGTACACACAAAGTTGGCACCTAGCAATTACTCATTTCAATCATATTTGCTATTTAAGTTGAAGCATGAAGGCACAGTCCACCCACCCACACACCTGCTGTCATTGCATGAGAGCCAACAGATCTGTTCCGATGTGAAAAATGTTTTGCTTGGTTATGCTTTGCTTCCAGTCGTCAGGAGGGGGGAAAAAAAGAAGGATTTTAACAAGGTGAAACCAGGCACAGGAAATAATAGGATTTATTTTTCTGTGTTCTTTGAGTGGTTTCTCAACAAAACTGTTCCTCTTTGCAATTAATGATGAAAAGAGCTGAAGCCTGGTGGTAGATTTTGGGTAAATGACGATTGGCCATGTCAAGGCAAGTCGAGTGTTGAGTGCGCAGAGAAATAAATGAACCAATAAACTGACTCACGTGCTAAAAAAAAGGTGTTAAACCACTTCAAATTCTAGAGTCAGAACCACTTCGTGCCAGAATCAAACAGCTCTTTACAGATGATAATTACTGGTTGTTTTTACCCTCATGTGATACAAGTACACACACACCTACAGGAGAGCACACACGGGACCTGTAACCCAGTCCAGATGGCATACAGTAGAGAACAGTATGCATAAATACACTTTTCCCATTGGGACTTTAAAGAAACTTGACATTTGCCTTGCTTTAGTGCCTCTGTGGGCTGCAGTGCATACACTGTGCTTTTAATCCAGGCTGCCATTTTTAAAAAATGTCCTCGCGAGCGCTCTCTCGTCTCTCCCCCAGTCTTTGAGCAACGATGCACCTTGAAAATAATCTTTAAAAAAGATTGTTTGTGTGCATACATTGAGAGCAAGCAGGGCTATTTGTTAAAGGTGCAGCGCCGAGTCATATATCCAAAAGGGACAGTTTTATAGGAGCGTTAATGTTTGCGTGTCTACCTTGATGGGTGGTTGTTTGTAGACCCGGGGAACTGCAAACAAAAGTCTACATAAAGCAAATAAACAGTGTATTTGCACAGGTGCTATATGTTGAAGTAGACATTCTCCAGCACTGCTAGAAAGTCAAGAACACATGTATGGATATGTGCTGCAAATAGGCTTAATCACTCGCTGGACACATGGGTACAGTACCTTGATAGCAGAGGTGGCAATCTGGAGGTGGTGCAGTCGCCTTAGGGTGCTCTCTCGATCTGTGAAGTAGGAAGCGGCCAGCTGATGGAGCAGCTCCAGAGACACCACTGAGCTGTTGCTGTTACCCTCTGACTTCTTATTCAGCTTCTGCTTGTCCAGGAAAATGGTCAAAGACTCCTCTCCTGCAAGTCAATAATCAATCAATAAATTCAGTTAGTTTTTATGTCACCTACATTACCTTATTGAAAAAATATATCTTTGTTAAAATATTCTTGAATGAAATATTGAATCGTCTCTTTAAGGTGCTCAAGGGGAAATTAATAAAAAGGGTCACTTCCATTGTAACAGTTCACCATGCCAGAACAGCAGGCAGATATTTTTTCTTGGAAAGAACTGAAGTGATATTCTGCTTCTCAATTTGACATTTCTTTGGCAGGCCTAAACTGTCTCACTGTGGTTTTGTGGTTTGTCTGCTGTGATGCAGATAATGTATCATTTGCTTTTGTGTCACTCACTTTCATCAGACAATTACAGAAGCATTAACAAAGCCATGCTACAGTAGGTTGCATGTTTCTGTGTCCTCTGATGGTGTTTATAACATGTTTGAGGATAACAAGGAGAATTTAGAAGAGGGCTGTGGCCATTTTTATCATCTTCCTTGTGATATCAAGTAATGAAAACAAAGATACTGATTTTAAAGGCGATAATGCCTGCGTTTCCAAGCATTGCTGATCAATGTCAGTCACTCCTCCATTAGGCTACCCAAATAGCTATTAACATTTAGAACTTTCTAAAAGCCAAAGCTGGCTCTGGAGTATTTACTGGAAATACTCCAAACGCCAACCCGCTGAATTATCCAACATGAACTCATCACTTGGTCTAGTTTCTCAGCAGCATTTGAAATTACATTGAAAATTACACTGAAAAGTCTGGCAAGAAGCTAGCATTTTAAAGTAGCTGTTTGATATAGCATATATATGTATATATATATATATAATTCTTTTTATTTTATTTTTATTTTATTTTAGAGAAACTAGCAGAAGCTTTTTCTACATTAATGCTAATTAAATATAGCAAATGTCAGCTCACAAAAGTGTCACATTCTGTAATGTTTTCCAAACATCCAGTAGTGCTCTCATTGTGCATTGTCCTGCTGATGTAGACTCGCGTTATTTCGGATACTTTCTGCGATATGTTCGTTTTGCTGCCTTAATACATGCACACACAAGCTTTATTGCTCACCTTGTCTCTGGAGAAGACCATGAAAAACTACCCAAAGACATGATGTCTGGACTACAGTGAACAATCGCCATATTCTGAACAGGTGCTGTTACTGTTACTTTTTATGGTGTAAAAATATTATATTTTTCTTATCAAATATCATTGAACAGAGTATAATTGTTTTTTAAAAAGACTTAAGATGGTTACTCTCCATTTTTTGACAGCGATCTGTCATGTCTGACAGAGTATCGTTAAGTTCATAATTTAGGGTACACCAATGTTCAAAAAGGTAAGACCTCAAACACTGTTTGACCATTTAAGATTTTATCTTTATATTTATTGAGCTTCATCAAGAATAAAATCACCCTGAAAATAGTATTTTGCCGGCAAAGACTCTCCCCTCCCCAAAGAGTTCTACCCTTTGCCATATTGGTGCAGCTGCAGGCACACATTGGAAACTCACCCTGATTTCTCCCGAATGAACGAAGTAGATGCTTCTTGGATGGTTAAAAGATAAAAAAGGAGAAAAAATGATGACACAGAAATATATGATTTGTGTTATTCGTATTCGTTTTTGTATTTATTTTATGAATAGAAGTCAAATGGTCAAGTGTCTGGAATATCCTGATGTCCGAAAAACAGTGAGTCTATGTTAGCTCTTTGTCAATGTAGACAGGAATTAAGTATACAGAATGTGAGGCATCGGTAATAGTAAACGAGCTTTGACATTGCCACAACCTCACCTTAGTCTGGAGAAAATATTCATATATAACTATATCAGTTAGCTAACAGGTAGTTAGCTGGACCTAAAAAAGCAGGGGTGGAGGAGGTTATTTGATGTTGTTAAGTCTTTTTATTGACTGCACCTATACACCAAGTACTATACGTTTGCAAATTGCCACCCTCAAAGTATCTTGCTTATCAGGCAAAGCACACCATTATTGATGAATGTTATATCATTGCGAGACAAGAGAAACCAAGACTTTAAGTAAGGCTCCCACACCTGCTTAAGCATCATATTCACTGACTTTTCAAGGACTTGCAGTTTCCTCCACTTTAAGGACCTGACATGGCATTGTTTGAATTTGTGCATTCAAATAAAAACCTGAGTGAAAATGCTAAAAATTAATAGAAAAATGTTTAGTTTTGCTTGAGGAAGGTAGAAAAGTTTGTGATTCGTTAAAAGGTAAATTCAACTACATGCAATTGAAACAGATTTAGTGAATAAGTTATGATGAATGCCTACAGTCATGACCTATCATCATTGCACAGGCCACTGCAAGCTCTCTTCTTTTGTCCCTGGATGGCTTTTAACACTCTATACACACAGGGCTGTTACAAGAACTCTTCCAAGAGCACATAGCTTTAATATTAAATGTTCAAACCTTCCTATTTCCATTGTCTGCTATGATACATCTGCTATGATTCTTCGTTTGAGGTTTGACTTCCTCTTCTGCAGCGCCACCTACTGCTTATCTCAATGAATCAACTCCGAGCATTTAAATAACTGTCGTAAATTTGCATTTTCTTTTGCCAATTTTCTGAGTATTTGGTCAAAATTTGCGTTACAAACGAATGGAAAGCCAACTAATGACAACACTGCAGGAGACATGCAGACAGTGGAACGTAGCCTATTTACTAACTTTAAGTAAAATTTTTTTTTTTTTTTAATTTTAAAATCAATTTCTAGCCTTGCAAATAATATATACATTCAACCACTTTCAATGACCCATGTTAATTCATCTATTTTCAAAATTGCAAAGCCTTGAAATCCATGTGTCCAGAATCTGAACTCACTGCTTAGTATAGATTGTCTGTGTTACAGGGAGCAGTCTAGTGAATAAAAGAAAGAGGAAGCGACTTGAGAGCACTGCCTCAACAAAAAAAAAAAAAAAAAAAAAAAAAGCTGAGAGAAGTAAAACTAGCTAAATGATGACAAAATGACCAATGACAAAAATAATTATTCTAAATATTAGTTATTATTACTAAGCATGTTTCATTGCTTCCCAAAATTACCAACAGGATTTTTTTTCCAGTCCTCAAGTCAATTTATTCACTTCAAACCAGCAAAATAAACTTCACAGCTCAATGTAACCATGGCGGGTGAGACAGCTATAAAAAACAGGCAAGATTGCGATGGAAACAGGAGAACAAAAGAGAAAGAAAAATGAGATTGGGGATGTGTGCATTTGCTCAGACACAGTCTAATCAGTATGCAGACTGGCTCAGCCCATTTAGTTGAGGCTGTTAATTACATATAGAGTCTAACTATCAGTCTGCCACTGCATTCATCTCTGCTCTGTCTCCCACGCTGATGCTCCAGTGCATACATCCAGCGATAAGTGGCACTAAAGTTTGGTGGCTGGGGAGGCAAACCTAACATGTCACTAAAATATCACAGAGATTGTTGGGAGAATGTGTGAGCGCAGGTCTTCTACTGTATGTAGTCAGTGTGGTAAAGGGCTGTAGCCAATGTGGCCCTGGTTTAGAAGATGTATGGGAAACACAGGCTTCAAATGATATCTCTTATATGTGAGTAAGTATCCCCTATGATCTTATATATTCACTGTTTATTATAGGGATTGCCTGAAGTACCCTGGTCTTGTAAATCTATGATGCAATGAATGCTTAGACGCTAAGATGTTTATACTCACTATGAATTTTCCTCAAGTCCCTTTATAAAAAACAGCCAACTGTAAAAAATATACTCATATATCTGGGCTGCTACGAGGAGACCAGGATCAGCAGTGTATCAATATCATGAGGTCGTCACTTTGAACGTAACACAGGTCTCAGCCCTGTTTTGTGAGGCGTGCGATCGATACCGCTGGCGATTCTGCTTTGTGAGTTACTTCTCTCCTCGGCTATCGAGGGTAAAAAGAAATCCAATAAAAACAGACATACGCTGAGAAACGGGTCAATTTAATCCCTCTTCTGCTTTGTAAGGCTCTTGTAGCTGCATGCAATGTTCATCAGAGGGAAGGATGAGTGGAAAATTACTGAGGAAAACAACCTTGGCTGAATGCTGCAGGTGCAAGGTGTTGTACTGTCACTATTGCCTGACTTTTTTCATTAAAAAACAGCAGGTACATAGATCCTCTACTAACATAGGATATAACTCCTCTGAGACCGAAAATGAGTTACTCCTCTATTTTTGGTGTATCCTCACATCTCCTAACCTGAGAATAAAGGCGAGTGTGTCACCTGCAGTCCTTCCTTACCTCCCAGGGTAGCGGAGACTAGGAAGTGGGTCCCGTACTTCTTGATGAGGTTTTCGTTGATTTGCTGCAGGGTTGGCCGTCGCCCCAGTAACCGCAGGTTGCGAAGGAACTCTGGCGCTAAGGGCAATGGAGCTTTGAGGAAATCTCTCTTCTCTGTTGCCAGGCTGTTCACCTTCCAGTGACTGAACTCCCTGAAATTATGAATACATTAAAAGGTGAATACACACTTAGTTCAAATCTCATTTAAGAGGGAGAGCTTAACATCGCATACAGACACATTCACACTCACAGGAGACTGAAAAGGTTGTTCAGTAAGATGGTATGGAAATGAGGTATAGGTGCTACATATAGCCTGCATTACAATCCAGGTGATAGTGATTCAAAATGTCACGAATGTATGACCATATTTCCCATATACCCAGTTGATTTTTGTAATAAAATTAATCTGGCCATTCATTCGTTTCCCATCCAGAAACAATTAAATACACTTTTGTTCCCTCTTAGCCACACATATGCATCTCTGTTTGCCGCAATCTGTCTTGGTTTTACATGCAAATTTGGGTTGACCCAACTCAAGCCCAGCGGGGGTTGGTAATGCACCTGGAGCCTATGAGGTAACTTCCAGAAACATCTGGAAAAGAACAATGTCGGAACCCATCAGCTACCCATCAGGGAGCAGCCAATACTTTTGGGGGTTCTGGTGTAGCCAGTGGATATGCGGGCCAAGACTTCCTCTTTTGTGCACTGGTTATTGTTCACAATTTGATTAGCAACTTGAGACAGATCCAGACAGCATTTTGGCTAATCTCTATAAACAGATATTTGCATATGAATGCAGATAAATAAGAAAAAAGCCAATGAAAAGCTAAATTGTCATCAGATGTTAGCCGATGAGTTTCAGAATTGCATTTCAGTCAATGTGTTCTGCCTCTATTGTTCTCCACACAGCAACTAAAGCCAAACATAGTGAATACTACTTGGGCTACAATTAGACTACAAAAAGAACGGAAGAACACCTTGGATACCAAAATCTTGTCCCATTGCCTATAGACTCTGCATTCATTATGCAGATATCTGTTTATAAAGATTAGAAGAATAACTTTTACAATTAAGCAGTTTAGCTAGGTAGCTAACAACTACACATTAACACATAAATGACTTGTCTAGATGGAATACATGGACTACCAGCTAACTAACGAGATATCCAGCTTATGAAGTGGCTCAAACTAAATGGCATCAGTGTTGCCTCTTTCTGCTTTTACAATAAAGAGTCAAAGCCTTGGCTCCGTTTGTGCTGTAAATACAGCGCCCTCCTCCCCTTTTGCACTGGAAAACAATCCAATCCTTTTTCCCACCAAATCTGGCCCAGTTGCTCAGATATAAATGGAATGTAAAGGCCTGTAGAGGCTGTTAGTGTTCTCAGGGGCGGGCTTGTTTGTTCACATTTATTTCAATGCCTTTGAAAAAACTAATGCAGTAATGATTAATTGATGGTTAGCTGTTGCCAGTGGGACTTACATAAGCACTCAAGTTTAGATTTGATTCCTTCCTTATGCCGGTGATATGCCTGCTACTAATATTTAGGACCTTTTAAATGAGTCAGCTCCTGTCCAGGGTGTAGCCCACCTCTCGCTCAATGTCAGCTAGGATAGGTTCCAAACCCCCATGACCCTGAATCAGATGAGTGGTTTGGGATAATGAATGAATGAACTGATGAATAAATTACTCAGTGCTATCAAACATGATAATCAAAATGCCGCATTAGACTAAATTCAAGCTAAAAGCTTTTAAAAACTGCACATAGCCACATTTTTATATATATAAAAATGGTGTATTACTATGCATTTTGTGAAGGTGTCGCTTGTACCAGCAAACCCAGAAAGAATTACCACCCACTGCATTTCCCCTCAGCTCTACAGAGCATTTTAATGTCTTTCAGCTCGTTTTGGTTCTCAGCCTGCAACTGTATTATTTTGATCCAGTTATTACAGGTCTCATCAACTGTTTCAAGTAGCAGCAGAAAGCCATTTTCAGCAGTAAAAGCTCTTGCAAATGCACTCTACACTACATACGGCCTATACCAAACGACAGAAAGACAAAGTTGGCAAATAGTTAACTAACATAAAGGGGCACTTAGTGCTAAAATGACGAATATTTTTCTCAGGAATGGGTGGTGGAGATTAAAATAGCAATCAAAGACAAGTGGAAGAAATCATAATGTTGCTCTATGTTTGCTGCGCAATATGTGCACGATGTGTAAATAGGCTGGTTGCCAACACACGTCAAATATGTCAGTGTTATGTTTACAGCTTGTTATGCTGCCTCGGGTATGAGACAGGCAACACAATGTTGATCAACTGCTCAATATAGTATGCAAAAACAAAAGAAAAATGCATCACATCTATTGGTGAACAAAACTGATAAACTCATGGTTTTCACCAAAAAGCTATATATTGGTCCAACCCCAATGTTGAAGGGGGTTAACCATAACGAACACACACACATGGTATTTGAATAAACACAGAATTAGAGAGAGAAAGGGCTACAAGACTTGGAAAGGGAAAAGTACAACACTTTAAAATGCTGCCATAATTGTTATTAAATAATCTTATTCATTCATTCATTTTTCGTAACTGCTTATCCTGTTAGGGGTCGCGGGGGGCTGGAGCCTATCCCAGCTGACACTGGGTGTAAACATGTTCTAGTAGTCAATGTCTCATGTGCAGTAGACCTAATTTTAATTCAGCTGGTCAACAGAACACAGTGACAAAAAGAGAGATGGAAAATTCATCCATTTCAAGTAGCTGATAATCATTTCATCACTCCACTCCTGCCACAGCGGAACCCCAAGGTATGTGAAGATTATGCAAATACCGGCAGAAAAGTACAGATCCACCTCATCTGCATAAATTTACTGGCAAAACAAGAGGCGTTGAATATTAGCACATTATGTATGCGTTCTCTCTGAACAAAACACCAGCAGTGTTTTCCCATGAGTACTTCCTCACACGCAGGAACATACACACGGGGAGGTGCATATACTGTATCATTGTCTCAGTTTCTCACTGGCTGCTCTTACAGGGCCTTCCGCGGTCAATAGTTTACTATTACCGACAACACGATACTGTAATTATGCTGATGACAGCATTACGACAACACCAGGATGCATGCAATGGGCCAAGTCCCTTAATAATACACAATAGATATACATAGGGTCATACAGATGGCACCACTGTAAAGACAGCAATAGGCTGTAATTAGTTTGTAGTTGCTGTGTTGCATATTCGTCTTCAAAGGGAAGCTCAGATTTGTAACCATTTAGCACAAACCATGACAAAGCTTTCCTCAGAAGGAATGGCCCCGGGAGCATATGGTCAAACTAGTGCTTCATTAGGAGGTTCATTCTCACATAATGCACCAATTAATGTCTGTAGCCTGGCCACAGTCACAGTGCAATTTGTACAAGCTATCATTAACTCTGGCCGCATTGTTTTTTCATGACAGCAGGGCAACTGAGGGAAAGTGAGTCTGAGGGCAGGGTTTGGAGCTGCAAGCAAAATGTGTAAAAAGATAATTAGATTGACGACACAAGAGGAGCTGGAGCAAACTTTGCTTTCTCAACGCTGTTTTCTCTTCTACAGCATGTGGCCATTAGTTTATTCATGTAATCTTGCATACTGTGCATATCAACTTAATTTTTTTATCAGCAAGGGAAAAAAAGAGTGTTGACCAGGACCAGTGCTGAAAAGAGTACTACGATTTCAAAGTGGTAATACCACTATGTTAATACATTCTGTAACTGTAAGTCCTGCATTCAACATTTTACTGGGAAAAAACATAAAATATATATTATGTGTATATATATATATATATATATATATATATATATACAATATATATATTAACAGCAAACTATACTTACAGTATTAATGGCTAAAGTGGGCCTCGTCTTGAGGAAAATAGCATAATTCTCATTAATTACCTTATTGGACTGTTATTGTTATAACAGCATATAAGGCACTAACACATAAGCAGTATTTTAATGTTGTAATGGTTTAGGTGGAAATGCTATAAAACGTTTTATGTTCTGCTGGATTATATATCATTGGATGATCATACAGTTTCTGTGTCTTCTGAAATCTGAAAAGCTGTAAAATAAAAATAAAATTTAAATACACACAGGCCATGAAAGTCTAGCAGTCTAGTTGTAATAATACTAATAATAATAACTTACAGTACCTTTGAAAACAGAGTTTACAAAGTGGTTAAATAAGTAAAGCAAAAGCAGAAACAAGATACTCAGAGGGCAATATAACAACAGAGAGCCAAACAGTCCTACCATGCACAAGTGAGACAAGGCAGAGTGAGGATAAAGGTAAAACAAGAGGACAAAAATGCAAAATGTTAATATAAATAAATACAAGTAAAAAGACCAGAAACATCACCCAAAAGCAGGTCTCTAAAGATGGGTTTTAGTGGAAGTGATTTAAAAGAAGTCACTGATTCTGTGAGCCTTATCTCCTTAGGCAGGTCGTTCCAAAGCCGAGGGGCCCTGATGGCAAAAGGACGGTCACCTTTAGATTTAAGCCTAGACTTTTGAACAGCCAGAAGGGCCCCAGCCAAGGATCTGAGGCTGCACACTGGCTCATATAGTGTCAACATTTCTGCTATGTAGCTTTAGGCCAGTGGCTCCCAACTGGTGGGTCGTGGTCCAAAAGTAGGTCATTCTGAATGGATCACAAGTGACTGGCAAACATGTCAAGTTTGTAAAAAAAAATTACAAGCTTTAAAAGTAATCAATAAAATCTTAAAAACAATTTTAAAATGAACAGAGACCCAGATTTAGGGTGATGTGATGTGGGCTGCTAGTAGTTCATGAGACTGAGGTCCACTAACAGCATTTAGGGTTTTTTTTTTTGTTTGTTTTTATAAAATTATAATTGTTTTGCCCTTGTTGTATGTTCATGCCTGCATGTATTAATTTGAATGTGACTACCTTACAGATGTCTGAACAAATTGAAAGTGGACATTTTTGGAAAGGATGATCACTGATCGAAATACATAATTACTACTGCAAAACAATTCAGCAAAATATGGAATCCTTTGGCAGAATTATTAGAAAATGACAACATCCCACCATCATAAATACACACACAACATCTATTGCTTGTCAACCCATCCTGGAGGAGGG